TCAAAGATGAATCCTTTGAAGTTAAGACTTTATTGCTCCTCTCTTAATGTAAAGGTTATTTGCAATAAGTCTCTCAAAATTCCAACACTACCACCTTAATTTATATTCACTTCTAAATAAGGTCTTTGAACCAAAATAGATGGATTTGATAATCTTTCAACAAAATGAACCTAAGCTATAGATTTGAGAAAAATATGAAAGCTTAAAAATAAAAAGAAAAACACTATAATTTAGGGTAAGGACGAGTATGTAAAATCATTAAAGATGTTTTTTGAACTTTTCCTTCACCTCATCTCTTTTTATAAACTAGTATTAACTAGAATTAATTTTCACATTATCACTTTTGATTAACCATCATAAATCCATAATAAAACCTTAACATTATGGTCATAAAATAATGTCTTTTGAGTTAAAAGAACTAGCTTAAGTTCTATTGAAAACATATTGAAAAACTAATCAAATTCTTCATTCATGGTTGGACAAAATAGTGGGCTAAGCTTGAAGAAATAATTATTCATGGATCAAATCCAAGCCCAAATTTAAGTTGGAAAACAAATAATTTTTTATGGCTAAAAAAATTATTTCACAATGAACTAGGCCCAGGCTTAAGTACTAACAAGGCCAATACACACGTGAATGGGCTAAACCCAAAAAGCTACTTTATTTAGGATCTCTCCCCTCTGAAAACTCGAGAGTCCTTTGGGCTCAATCTTAAGTCTTCAATTATCCTTTATATAAACATTAAGAAAATCTTGTTTCTTTCTAGTATGGGATATAGTTTTTTAGAGGATTTTGAATTTAATCAAAACATATCAATTAATGATTCTTTGAGATCAATTTCTCATTCACCTATAATTTATTTAAATTATATTAATGTTCTATGTTAAAGAGTATATGTTGGAGATTAAATTCCAATAAAGTTTTAACCCCAAAAGTGAGTGGATCCATTTGAAATTTGGCCTTAAAAGTGCATATTGACCATTATCTATAAACAAATTTCCGACAATCCCTATATATAGAAATCATCTCACCAATTTTAAAATGACTCGCAGATTGGTTAACAAATAATGATTTGGTGGATCATTACATTAAGATAAGTAACCTTTGACTTTAAGCTTTCTTTAATGAAATACTATTGGATTTACTTAGTTAAATAGTGAACATGATGCAGTGTTTTGAAATATCCAGCCTTTTATATAAATCAAGATAATAATACTCATATAGTTCTCTACTTAGAGATTTTCTTTAGTTATCAATATTATGTTTATTTTGGCCCTAAACATCTCTTGCATTCATGAGTTCTTTATAGAATTCAACATTTATCGAAACTAAACAAACTATCATGTTTCTCACTTTTATAAGTGATCTTTTATTAAAAAGTATTCTACTATACTCTATTTAGTATATCAAGATATGAAAATCATTAAGAGTATTGCTTAACTTTTATCACGTTGCAACTAACACTTATTTTATCATATGAATAAGCAAGAAACAATAATTTTTATATACTATCAAGAATGTTATATGAGTTAGTTTTTTATTTTAACCTAAATCTTGAAATCTTCAATCAACTAGGTATGGTTACCATCATTACACTATTTTATTTTTAAAGACTTTTTAAGTCCATTCCTCATGATAAATTATACATATGCTCTTTTGTCAAACCTATGGTTAACGGATTTGTAAAAATTTACTTTGACTTTACATAGTCATTGAAAATAATTTTATTTGAAAGCAAGTGTTTAATGATATTATATCTATCACGTATATGTCTAAACTTATATTCTAAAAATTCACTTATGTTAAAATAATAAATCTTAAATTCTACATAAAGTGGCTGACCATTCTACATAATGATATTATATCTATCACGTATATGTTTAAACTTATATTCTAAACAACTAGTTTTTCTTAGAAACATATATATAGTTTATCTAATTATAAAAATAGGAAGAGAATTTGAACATATATGATATACAAGCTATTCTAAGCATAAAAAAATATCAAAATCATCAATCATTAATCATTCTCTAGTTTATCGTATTAAACTTTTATATTCTAGCATAAACAGTATTTAATATCATTGTCACTACATTTGAGCACCTTTTTATTTTATAAGTGTTATCTAGTGAAGTATAAAGATATTAGATCTTCAAATTATTATATACACTCTATCAAGATAGTTTGTTGTGAAAATAAAATCATCATTACAAACCTTTAAGAGTTAGGTAAAAACTCTTGGCATTGGTGAGAGAATTTTACAAAAGGAAAAAAAATCTCAAAAAATATATATCTTCATGTTAAAAAAATCTTGAAGTAGGGTTCTTTTCAAGTGGTGTAAAAAATTTGGTGTTGATTTATCAAGTAGAATTGTACTCTTGAACTTGGACTAGAGAAAGAATACAATATTGAAATATAATTTGATACTTGAGGTAAGAATGTAGATTTGTCGAACCATGGTAAAATAAGTTTGTAATTTTTCTTCATTAAATTTTAATTTTAATAGTTTAATTATATTGTGGTTATTATATTTACTTGAAGTAATTTGTTTTAATTGTAAAATTTAGTGATACATCTAATTCAACCCCTTTTTAGGTGTTAAGTTTTCTTAATCCTTGAACAACAATTGGTATTAGAGTTTGGTTCTCATATATAAAGTTTTTTTAAACTTTGAGTAGAATGACAATCACTAGTTACAATCTCCAAAAGAATCATCCATATCTATGTCTTTTTTATGGTAATAATTATACATATTAGAAGCTAAAATGATAATTTATCTTCAATTTATTGATTTTGATATGTGGTTATCTATAAAAATAGACCTTATAGACCTATTATAATTGAAAATAGTGTTGAGATTTTTAAAACTAGAAGTGAATATATAGATAATGATAAGACATTGCTTTCCATAAATGTCAAAGCCATAAACACCTTATATTATGCTTTTAAGTATAAGTGAATTCAATAGAATTACATCATGTAAAAATACTAGAGATATTTGACATGTTTTAGAAGTAACTCATGAAGGAACTAACTAAATCAAAGAGTCTAAAATTGACATGTTAGTCCATCAATATGAATTATTTAAAATTCTTCCTAATGAATCCATTACCAACATATTTACTATAATGATTATCATTACAAATAGTTTGCATGCACTCGGTTGAACATACACCAATGCTAAAATCATGAACAAAAATTATTAGGTTTTTACCAAAAATTTAGAAAGCAAAGGTAATAAAAATTCAAGAAGTTAAAGATCTCACCAAACTTTCATTAAAAGACCTTATTACTTTTTTATAATGAATGAGTTCACTATGGATGAACAAGAACAAGAAGAAAAGCCAAAGAGGAACATGACATTCAAAATCATTCATTACATTGATGTTGATGATGATGATTGTCTTAATCACAAATCATTTCAAAAGTTTTCTAAAAAAGAAGCAAGGTAAGAAAATATTCTCAAACTATAAGAAAAATGGGAACAAGAAAGATTCAAGCAAGGAACTCCTAAGATGCTACAAATACAACAAAACAAGTCACATCAAAGTAGATTATCCACTTCTTTAAAAATAAAAAAGAATGGTTATCATCATAATAAGACAATTAAAACTAATTGAGTGATGATTCAGATTCAAGCTCAAATGACATGTGTTTTGTAGCAGTAAAAAAAAAGAGTGAAATTATGGTTAGACCATAGTTTTTAATAGGTCTCACACTTTAAAATTGTGTTTTAATTAGCAACTAAACAATTAATTTTGGTATTTTGAATGAAATGCAACAGTTGAAATGCAACAGTTGTTAGATAATCAAACACGGTCTAAATAGTGAAGCTTTTGTTGTTATCAAGGATAAATTCTTTATTCTTAAGATTTTATCGGTCATCTCTTGATGCAAATATTGTTTACAATAAACCTCCCAAGATTCCAATAACATCACCTTAGTTTAGATGCACTTTAAACAAGGTCTTTATAGACCAAATCCAAGCTCAAATTTAAGTTGGAAAAAAAATAATTTTTTGTGACTCAAAAATTTATTTTACAATGAACCCAGGCCCGAGCACAAGTCAAGCCAATGCACTTGTGTGGGTTTAAGCCTAAAGGACACTTTGCTTATGTACTTTCTCCTATAAAAATCTAGATCCCCTTTTAGTCTAATTTGAACTCTTTAATTGTACATTATTTAAACACTAGAAATTTTTATTTTTTTTAATATGGGATAGAGTTTTTGAGAGGGTTTGGCCTCAAATGTATCCATTAATCATGATTTTTAATCAGGTTTCTAACAAAACCATGTTGACTCAGATTTTTTTATTCTTTTTATAATTATTTCTTTTTATTTCATCCTCTAACATTGAATTTATTAAGAATTAAGTTTTATAATTTATTTTGATTATTTTCTATAAGATTATCTTGGTCTCATAACCAAGAGTATATATTCAGAGAATGAATTTACGTTGACTTATTTTTTTTATTTTTAATTGATGTTTTTCATTATCATTCTTTGATATTGGATTAACTAAGAATTATGCTTTATAATTTAAGTTAATTAAGAATTTTGTTTTATAATTTACTCTAATTTGTTTTCCTCTAAGATTATATTAATTTCATAACCTAAATCATAAATTTGATATATTAACTTGAATAAATTTATATTATTTTTTAACTAATTTTTTTAATTTTATTTTTTAATATCATATTAATTAAGTTCTATAATTTATTTTTTATTAAGTTGTCATAAATTCATAACTCAAATGGTGAACATAAGCTAAATAACCTATATTATCAATCAATCTTAATACTTTAAAAAAAAAAACACATTCAGATTGTTTCTTCTTTTTTTTTTTTTTTTTTGTCTTTAACAGTTATGTAGATTCCTTTTAAACTTGTTAGGCAAATTGGATTACATTATATTTTTTTTCCAGCGGAAAACAAGAACATAACAACATCTCGACATTATTGTCACGTTAAAAAAAAAGAAACTTAATACAACCATCAGCATAGTCAACGATGTAGTTACTACCACCAAACAAAAAACTGTCATCAGCTGTGGAGGACCTTGAACACAGTCACAACAGGATATGAATTTGAAAAGCCAAACCATGGAACAAGAACCATTAACATTTTTCCAGATATGATCAACCAACCAACATAAAAAAAAAAAAAAAAAAAAAAATCCAGTGTTACTTGGGCATTTTAAGTTCCAGTGCCTGTACTACCAAAATTGCGTGTACATCAAAGACATTCAAAAAAAAAGAAAAAAGACATCTCGATATCACACGGCTCAACACCATTTCTCCTGCAGAACACATGGGAAACAGCACTTCCATAACCACGCTTTTTGTTGATCTTGGCAAGCTCTACCACGCTTGAGTCAACCTGATTCAGTTTTCCCCTTCCGATTCATCAAGTCATGGTAATACAGAAGCACACACATTGGCTGACCAAGAATGCTGAAAAACAACCAGAAGATCATGTTTCCCACCTGTCATGAAAAGAATTGCATTCTGTCATGGACTAAAACAGGCTGCTGCTCATCGGGCTTTGATTTTGTACTCCATGGCCATCTACCATGGCGGACTACACTTTGCATGATGGAATAGAGCGGGGTTTGGAAGTCTGCTATTTATCAGATGTTCCAGATTTTAACCTCTCTGCTTGGGAGATGAAGAGGTGAAGAAATGGACATACCATGGAGCTTCTGAACTTATTTTGGAGAAATTTTGTGATCACCACTAAGGGAACCTGATCCAAACGAGAAAAATGAAGCCATGTTTTCCATTAGCTACTTCAACACACTTAAAAGATGATACTTTCCCTTCTTCCTTTCTCTTCTCTTAGGGAGTGGGGGGAGCAAGCATAAAACTGGTTTTAAAACAGTCAGTTAAAACGAACTTCTGGCAGTCTCTGGTCAGAATCATATTTACCTGTAACATAATTCCAATAAATGCCCAGAGCTTGAACACGCGGCAGGGAACAGCAATGCACAACTGCAGGATAATTAACATCAAATGCCACCACAAGTACATGGCTGTAATTGAAACTATTGAACAGAGCCAGCGGTGCATCAATTCAAAATTCTAGTGCAAGCATTGACTATAGAATCTCAAAGTGTTGGTCTATAACTCTATCGCAATCACTGCATTCCAAGAGTTCGCCTGCCGTGAAGAGTTGAAGAGACAGTTCATCAGCATCATCCTCAACTAAGCCCTCATCCCAACCCAGTTGGATCGGCCTACCAGTTATTCTGTAATTTCTTGATGTTTAGATCTCCTCTGTTTCCGAACCTACCAATCCATGTTATCAATGTGCCAAACTAAGCAGGTAACTTGGTGTGCTAACTTTCAGAATTGGTTGCTACCATTATTTTTACCACTGACATAGCATAAAGCAAAGTCCCCAGCAATGTGTGGTTCCCAGACAAAGATAAGAATAGATTTTCATGACACTGTCACAATCCCTGTGCAATTTGTCGCTCATGTCTAGTTCATCTCATCCAAAGCTAATCTTTTAATAGTTGAAATTAATTCACATGAAGTTGAACACAAAATCACTCCACCCATCAAGAAAAAGAAAAAAGAAAAAAGAAAAAAGAGAGTGATGAGTCCCTAAGCAAAATCCTTGATTCAAGTGTGTGCACGAGTACAATTCAAAATCCCTCATGTAACCCAATTGGGAACATATCCAATACTATACTTGACCTGGTACTGCTCTAATACAAATAGGATACTTGCCAAATAAAAACTAATGAATAATAAATATTATTTCAAATGCTTGGGGATACTTTAAAAATGCCTTCATAGATGTATCCAAAACCTCATGGATACATCATTACTACAATTTCCGGTGCCAATTGAATTTTACTAATTAGTTTTGCACATTTTCAATTTATAATATCAGATTAATATAATAATCCCTCCATCCCAAAGAGATTGTCTGGTTTTCTATTTTGTTTATCACTAACTGATTTTCTGATCAAAACATTGAGTCATGTATTTTCCTAAAATACCCCTAGTTAAACCCACTTTGTTAAGAGGCATACAATAGAGGGTGTTTTAGAAAAGTGTGATAAAGAATGGTGATATGACATATGTCAATTAATGATAGTAGAAAGTCAAACATGACAATCCTTTTAGGACAGAGAGTATGATTTATATAGATAATAAATGATTTTTTTTTTTTAAATGGATTCTGATTGATGAATATTGTCAAAGTGACGAATGCAATCTTAACATTGTTATTATTGGTGTTATTCAAACTAATTTATGGTTTCCCATCTTGTAAATAGTTTTATGCATTTTGAATTAATTTCTAGAATAAAAACGAGAAACTACATAAAAATGTAAAAGTAGAACATATTTGTTTTTAGCTTAATAACACATTGATAACTAACACATCATCCTGACCATCCCATCCTTTAAAAAGAAAAATAAATACACAAATTTAAAATAAATATCTTTTATATAAAAAAACTATTTTATATATTATAATACCAAACCAACATGATTTCATTTTATCCAAAAAGTTGGCATTATATATTTTTAATAAAGTATCCATGACATCAGTATCATATCCTAAATTTAAAAAATTGGCATCTGTATCATATTGTATTCATATCCTTGTTGATGCTTCCTAAAAAAGATACTTCTATAACCAACAAATAAACATGCAAAAATTTGATCTTCTATGTGAACATATAAACCAGCTATGAGATAAAGTAGTCAAGATAAAAGTCATCGAATAACAAAAATAAAAAATCAACCCAATAATACCTCGTGAAATACAGCTGAAACTAAGAAGGCAATAAGTATAGCTACCCCCTGCAATGAATGACATGGGAAAAAACAACAAAGAAGAATTGTGAGAAACTGCCAAGAGAGTATCTCTACTGAGTTTTTGTCTAACAAAATATAAAATCACCAGGACATGCTTGGTTAATAATACACAGCCCTAAATGAGAATAAACCTAAGACAACCCCCTTCATAATATTCCATGCATCATCCTTCTTCCAAAAGTTGCTGTCAACAATTGTCATAAATATGAGTTTAAAGTTTATAATTGTAATTCTGATTTCTTTGTTCAATTAGCAGAAAAATAAAAAGAAAGTTGGATAGAAGATTCAATAAATAAATAAATTGCAAGATAAGCCAAATTATAGCATGTCTTGTAATGCACGGGTCACATTATAAAGCTTCCATCGTAGAACAAGAAAATGAAAATCTGTGATGACAAAAGCAGAGATAAAAATACAGTAAGAAGAAATGTTCATTTACTTTCTAACGAACAAGTGCCGTTTACAGTCCACGGAGAGAAAGGGAAGTTACCTTCGGTATTTTATTCCGTAGGCAAGGAAAATAGATATGGCGAACCATCCACTTATGAACTGGCTGTAGACAGTTACGATTCAATTAGAGGCATGCTTGACCAACCAGCCTCTGTGCGCGTGTGTGTTCGTAAGCAGCACATCTTATGTTCGTTATAATAACTACAACATTACAATAAGAATGCAAATGATATATAAAAGCACCAGATGAACAAACTTGTAAGCATGTAACTGGCTTAAACATTTTTCCCTTGTATTTGTCTCAGTTCTTTAAAATTTCCCCTATGTTAGTAATTTATTTAATAACACTTTGTGTTTGTAAAATTGGCTCAATTAGGTTCAATGGTTAATTGTCATCCAATTGCTCAATTAATTGGGACAACAAATAATGTCCACACATGATGAAAATTGAACTCATATACCATGTAAATTATGTCATTTGACCTCCATGTGATTGATCAAAAAAAAAAAAATCTCTGAGCTGTAAGCTGCTCAAGTGCCTCTCTTTATTATTTATCAAACGCAGCCAGCCAGCCACCCACCACCAACCCAAAATCTAAATTCTAGCTTCTTCCCTAAAATAATTAGAAACCCTTCCAAATCTTGATCAAATCACATGCGAATCTTTTTTTTTTATGGATCTCTAAGCCATTTCAACTTAGTTCATTAAACATCATTCATTTGATATGGGGATCCAATTTTCATCCTATATAGAAATTGTTTGTCCATGTCGTACTAATTAATGGAACAAACAGAAGGAAGTTAACTATTGCCCACAATTAAACCAATTTTACAAACATATAGTTACTAAACAAATTAACACATGGATAATTTTCAATAATTGGGACAAACACAAGGGTAAAATGATAGGTTATACAGCAACAAATTACCATGGTATTGCTGACAATTGCATCAACAAATAAAATCCTTCCCGCAACATGGACAAAAGATTGAATAGAAATTGAAGACTTTCAATCTAATATCCTTATCTTGACACAACTTTCATTCGAATAGAATGATTTGCAACTAATAGAAGTACCTTATTGTTCAGTCATAATGTTGATCCACAACTAAATTCAAACAGCACATGGTAACCATGGCCCGGATTTCAATAAAAGGATATAGCAACTTTTATAGCTTCATGATCCAATAGCCAACTAGGAAACTACATAACAAGAATTCATATAGATCAAATATTCATTTTTTTCCAATTCCATAGTTCCCTGACATTTTCCATTTTCTACCTTAAATGGGAATAGCATTTATCCTCTTGAGACTCCCTAATCAATTAAACAGCTATGAAAACAATTTCTAGGGAGGCACATGTTAGAATTCCCACACCGTTCATGTTATAGATTTAAAACAAGAATGTATTCTGGAACACATGACTGCTATAACACACAAAGTTTCATGATTGACCATATCGATCCATAACATAAAATTTTGAAGGTGTTCCCATAATTTATTGACTTTCTAATGTTTGGAGGAACTTTAGACAACTAGTCGACAGAATTCATTTTCCAATAAAAAAAGAATAGAAGCTTTAAAAGAGGAAGCTTTTTTTCTGGTTTGAAAGAATTGGAACACATTCATTAGGGCTCACGCACTAAAATCACATGCTACATTATTCTTCCATAATACATGTATTACACTTGTATTAATACTCTATTTATTGTATTAAAATATACAATATATTGACGAAGTACAAAAATCTATATAATATTTTATAGGAAATTAAATAAATATATATATATATATATATCGAAATCGAATGCAAGGGATTTGCTAGCCCACCCTGCCCATCCTTCGAGCATGTTAGCATTGTCGTTTTTTTTCACGTAATGTACCTTTAATGTAAAGCGTTATTGATCTCTTGTAACTGGGATTGTACTGCCATCTGGTACCCTTACTTTTTTTCTTCTTTTCTTTTTGTTATTTGAGACTCTTATTATTATTATTATTATTACTACTACTACTACTACTACTATGTCCATTGTCTCTCATGTTGTTTCCCTGAATTTATCAACAAGAAATAAACCACCATTCTCTCTCTCTCTCTCTCTCTCTCCTTGAATTGTTATTTTCCTTTATCATCATTCTCGAATACCACTCCAAAGGCAATGAGTAAGGTTTTTATATCAAATCCATTTCTGAGAATTAATGAATACCACTCCAAAGGCAATGAGTAAGGTTTTTATATCAAATCCATTTCTGAGAATTAATGATTGCAAAGAGATAAATACAAGATAGGGAGTATGGGATCGCCATTGCGTTGCCAGATGAAGAGAAAAAAACGAGAGAGATTAACAGCTTGAGAAACTGAAGATAGTGCTTCTTTGCAAAAAGATTGGAATAGTATTTCCTTAATTCTTTAAATTTGAAAGCCTACAGAAGCAGTGAACAAAGCAATGAAGATTTGGCAGTTAGGCCACTTTAGAGTCCATTTCTAACTACAGTTTCTGTAGCAAAACTTGAAGTGATGGTGATGTGTTATTGCTCATGCTTTATTCAGACTATAAAAGAACAAAAAAGGAAGAAAGAAAGGGGAGGGGAGGAGAGAATAAGTGGGCCCCAATGTTTGATAATTGTCATATTATCTCTATTAGAGGTGATTAAGAAAAGCCCATAATTGCAAGTGAGGTTCTGGCCTAGCGGTGGGAGGGGCTTGTCCCCTTCCTCCGCACCTGGGTTCGAACCTCACCATGCACGCCTGTCACCCCCGCGGTGCCTTACCTGCTCACTGGGCTTGCAGGATGTTCAGTGAGCCGTGGGGATTAGTCGTGGTGCGCGTAAGCTAGCCCGGACACCCCACGTAAATCAAAAAAAAAAAAGCCCATAATTACAATACATAATGTCCAAAAAATTTGGGCACAATGCTAGTCCGCCTAAAGAGTGAGTGGGTTAGCAAATTCCTATATATAATACATTTATACATATAATACATAGATAAGAAAATACTTTTTGTTAGAAAATATACAACATCTCATAGTTATAACGATAATTATAAATAGAATGTTATTACGAAAAATGGATAACACAGGCAAGAAAGTCATTTTCACTGCACAATAAGCATTGGAAAATATTTTCAACCTCATTTTCCATGGTAGAGCCAAACATTGAAAAATAATCCATTTTCCTATAATTCATTTTCCATGGAATTCATTTTACAAAAAAAAAAAATTCATTTACCAATAAACAATCAGGCCTCAGAATCTAAAGATAAAATAAAGAATTTCAAGTATAGAAACATACCATATTCCACATTCTCCAATACTGTTGAAAGCCACAAATCCAAAATCACGTTTGCAAATGTAAAGATGATAAGCAAGGAATTTTTTTATCGATATATCAAGAGGAAAACATTTTCCAGAATATGAGTTCTTACTTCTTCAACGGTTCTTGCATTCCACCAATCCTTGTAGAACTCCCGATCACCAAAGCGAAGGAGCTCAGCAAGTATATTTAACCTACATTTGCAAAACAGTATTCAACTCAAACTAAAGAGATGAACCTGGTCCTACAATTCCCCTGTTATGGGAGGGAAGAAACCTAGTGTAAATTTCTAGAAACATGCCAAGCTTCAGGAATCATGCTAGGTAATAAAATTATGCATTAAACAAAAATAATAAGCACACTTTATAAAAATTACTCCCACTACAAAGGAATCTGAACACAATTTGAAATGCAAGTTGTTACTTGTTGACAAGTTATAAGAAAAACATTTTTAAGGGAATGAAGTCAATAGTTGTTGAAGTAAATGTGTCCAGTGGAGGATTCTTACAACTCCACTACAACTAAATGAAACTACACATAACACTATTGATCTAAAAAAATTTCCACTGAAGTATTTTCACTTGATACCATTGAGGCAAACTAACTACAGCTATAACAAGCTTCATGGTATTAATGAAAAAAAAAATGGCAATTATTGGAATTTCTTTAACAAAGAGGAAACTATCCATAAAATGCGAAAGAAAAGTTCACTCACCACAGGTGGAAAAAGCAGTAGAACATGCAAAGCCATACATATAAATTAGGAACTGAGAGCTTCAAGACCCTCTCAATGGCATACAAGAGATTTCCTTTAAAAGGGTGCTGTGAATTCTTAACAATAGGATTGATATACTGCAGAATTATGCCCACCAAATATGTCAGGAATGCATGCCTTTATTTCCAAAAAAAAAAGAAGAAGAAGAAGAAAGAGAGCACTCAGAACTGGTTTAAATGTGAAATTCTACTTACTTGTTCTATGATAAATCCCATGAATCCAGTAAATATTATTAACTTGACAAATTGTTGAACCACCCATCCCTTTCGAACAGATTCAGTGCGAGGATAGCTTGACTACAATGACAATGCGTCAAGGCAAAGATTAGAGAATCTGATAACAAAAACAAGATATGGCAGCCACAAAATAGGGACAGAAGTCCTATTTACAAGCTATAGCCACACAAACACAATGCAAGAGCTATATATAAAGTCAGACCACAAAACACAGCATAACCAGAATAGAGACCCCTACATTCCTACATTAATACTAGTCTTAAGAACTTTATGACAACATAAAAGTTAGATTCTATTTACAAATCCACGTCCCCTGTTATATGTGTATCATTTGTATTATGTGTCGTGGTATTTGGGAGACAAGTAGTTATTTCTTTATGCATTAAGTGATAGCATGGCATATGTAGCTCAGGGTATGGGTAATTGCTGCCAGTCCTGCATGGTCCCAAGACCCAAGTGTTTCAAGATTTTGTGAGCAAAACGTTTGTGAATTTGGTCAACTACAACAGAGTCAAAATTCAAGGTCTTTATCCACTGTCTTCTATCCAGACATGGAAAAGAATTGTTCTTTATGAAATGCTGGGCATTAAGCCCCAACCCTCGAGACCAGGAAATAATAATAAAATGTGCTGAAGGATAAAATTGCTTGGATGTATCTAAAATCATAAGAATTGATGGAAATGAGACAAAATAACTGATCCATGCAACTAGGACACTCAAAACACATCCAGTCCCATACACAGAGATAACATAAGAACATTTGTCTACCATTAGAAAATGTGGGAATATCACACAACTCAGGTTTAAAAAGGTACTCTACACCAATCATTCCATGTAAAGGAGTATAACCTGATTGTTATAGCAGGAGTCCTCTCATTCCATGCATGCAGGGTGACTTTCAACATATATATCCTAGTAAGTTCATTCTTTCTTTTATTCTCTAGTAACTAAAAATAAAAGTCTTTTTGCAATGTATCCTCTAGAATTTTTGGAAATAAATCAAATATAATTAGGTAATACAAGATGAACCAATAAGAGTTTATAAAAAAGCTGAAAATGCATATAGTTGTTATATATGAGCCAAAGAAACATGACTGATTACCTGGTAACATAATGTGGGAGCCACCATGAAGTAGACCAAACTCTTAAAGTAAGTATCATAAGGATTACCCACACAAGGAGAAATGGATTGGACATCTTCCTGAAATTAAACAGGACCTCGGTGAATAATGACTGAGAGAAACCAATTGATTAAATTTGATAGAGAGAAATATTGAATGTGTAATGATAATGATAATGATAATGGGAAGATAAGAGAGAGAGAGAGATGATAACACATCTACTTGATGCTTCTAGCACATATTTTCTCAATTCTTCAATTTACAATCTTATGTAGGACGCAATGCAACAGCTTTCACATAAAAAACCACGCACCTGCTGAGCTTTTTCAAATATACTTACCCTATCTATTGACTTGGCAATTGCTCTCATATCAGAGTTTGTATGAGCATAAGATACCAATTTTAACCACACAATGCAAGAAATGAGCATCAAAGTGACACCAGATAGAAAAGCAGAATCACACCTGCACAAATTAGCCAAGAATATTTAAGTGTCTTTGTTAACATCCAATGACTAAGCATGTTAACATCCTACAAGATCTAAAAAGATATTAAGACATTTAGCTTATCAATTCCACTCCGAGAGATAAAAATCAGCTTCAAAGAACTCATTTTTTATGCCTGTACAATAAATTATCCACAAAATAATTCTGACATTTTAAACTTTTCTGTCATCTAAAGTTTGCGTTAGAGAGAGAGAGAGAGAGAGAGAGAGAGAAGGAGGGGGTCCTTGATGAAATGGAACTGCAGAGTTTACAAACTTGCACAAACTCTAATGCTTGAGGGTTGGGAACTGGGAAAATTCATACAATCCTAGGTAATTTCAGTTACCAAAATGTAATTCCAAGATTTTAACTGCTTTTTCGCCAATATATGGTTACAAACATGGAAAATATGCATCCACCATTTTAACAATACAAAGACCACAAAATCAAATCCAAATCAAAAAGGGTTCTCTAGTCCTCTTGACTATAAGATGAAGGTACTGCTATGCACATTCCAGAAGCAGTGATTTATAAGGTGTCCAAGAAAACTTATGTCCCACAATGATCACTGTAAGAGGCAATGATCTCCTAAGATTTCAGAATCCTGCCCCAACCGACTAGAACATGCTCTAAATCACCTCAGACATAGCACATCCCAAAGGCTCTTACAATCCTTTACATCCATAAAAGATAAAGAACACTTGAATGATTCAACCAGGCATATAAGATAAAGAACACTTGAATGATTCAACCAGGCTCTCTTTGAACAATGGCTTTGGAGGTTCATGGTGGAATGATAACATGTGCAGATTGATCACTGAAGATATTCAAGAAGTGGATTTTAGGGGCAAATTTTCTAGAGAGGAACATTTCTTATCCTAGTTTTTCAATATCTATTAAAAAGGTTGGGTCATTTTTCTTCTCTTGTCAGGTTTGACTAGGGAAGAAGGCATCCTATTTTGCATGGCATGATAAATGGGATATGGAATAAGCATTCAGATCCAGTTCCCTAAACCTTTTGTGTTAGCTTATGATAAACATGCTCTTCGAGCCATTGTTTCAACATAGATGAAGACAATATAATTTTGGCAAGCATGGCAATACTGGCAGATTCATGTTTAAATGAGCAAAAGCGTGTGGCAATGGTGTATTGAACTATCTTTTCCGTTGGGATATGGTTAATTTAGTTGGTCGACAGTTTAATACTTGGGAT